GATATTGAGTCCGAACTGTAGTAGCTAGAGAACAAAACGAGATTTCCTCGGGAGTTCTCGCGGGCGCGTCTACACTCTGTCACTTCTTAGGCCGTTATGCAATTTCGCCTTCGGCAACAGTTAGGCCTTTGCATGGTTACGGCGTCTACTTATCCTTGTCTGGTACGGCTCTTCTACCAGAACATGTATGAGTCATTCACCAAGGTAGGACTGCTGTCCACTATTGATGGCCATCTCGTCAGCATCATAGAATCCATGATTGCCGACGTGTTAGGGTACTTTTCCAAGACAGAACACTAGCCCTTCCCGGAAGTTGAGGACCGACAACTCATATACAGCCTCATCCAAGAGTACTTCCCAGGGGCCCACAGTGACGCAAGTTACACGTGCTTGCGGCAGAGCTAGCTGCTTGGCCATTTACTATTCATTGATTCTGTGGTACATAAGAATGCCCTTCCACTTGGGCATAAAGCTGAGCGCCGCTTGGAGTTTGTTCGGGTCTTACATGGTTATCAGCATGGCTATCAGGTCCCGCTTGCACACATTATCTGGATGCATATGCGCAAATTTCTACAGGAGGCAGTTCGACCTTAACGTATGCAGAACCTGACTTGGCCCCTACCATTTGCCAACTTGCTCACACTTGTCTTCGAGCTGAACGGCCTCCCCATTGACTCTATTGAGGAGATTGACAGAGCTTATCCGACTTTCGGGCAGCGGGAATGGCAGCATAGCATATCTTGCATCCCGCAATAAGTTGGTGCCCCGGTTGATGAGGCCCAGGACCCCGTCCACGACCAACCACCTCCTCCTGTTTGGGTTCGTAGTCTCTTTTAACTCAAGTTATTAAGCCCGTAGGGATGTCTCTACACCTAGTGCCCTAAAACCGTCTGGTTTAGAAGTCACTGGCCCAATATTTGCTATATGAGTTAATTAGAAAGCTTAAGGGATCTAGACATTGCACAGTTAAGGAAAAGTCAGGAGAATGACTTGTTCGGATTCGCAGCCTTTTCAACTTGAGTTATTAAGCCCGTAGAGGTGTCTTTACACCTAGTGTCCTAAAACCGTCTGGTTTGGAAGTCATTGGCCCAATGCTTGTTACATGGGTTGATTAGAAAGCTTAATGGATCAGAACATTGCATAGTCTTTCAAAAAAAAAAAAATTTGAGAATCTTGGTTGCATTAGTTTAGTTTTTCTGTATATGCTAGGTGTTATTATGAGTTACACTGTGCTATTATAGTGGACAGCTAACTAGTATGGAGATTGGACTTTACACCGAGGATACTGATGATGTGTTTACTAGCATTCACAAGTACATGGGACTTTACTTTTGTATTAACTGAATTGTGGTCTTTGCTTAATAGATTCCTTCATCATTGTCTACTGTTCCGTCAATGAATCATCATGTCTTAATATTACACTGTATTGGCATATAAGTTAATTATTGAGTGGTGTAGTGTGATTGATTCTCACTGGATAGATGTGAATATATTAATGTTTATAGGTATTATTTCTAGAAATCCTTATGAGACTTTACTCGTCTACTTGGAGTAACTTTGTGGTTTAAAGGCTTGTTACATATGTTAAATGCAACTGTTTTCCACGAAAGAGGAAATAGCTAAATTTTGTGTTATTTTATTTTATTTTATTGCTTGCTTGAGGACTAGCAAGTTGTAAGTTGGGGATGTGATTAAGGTCGAATTGTGCAACGTTGAAGCTATTAATTAGGATCTCTTAACTTTACTTGCTTGTCAAACTATATATTTTATGTCTGTTTAATGTCAATTAGGTTGTGCATAGTCGGAGCATAAAATAGACAAAAATACAGAATTTGGAGAGAAAATACTTTTCACGCACGTGCGTTGACTTTTCCGCACGTGCGTTGACTTTTCACGCACGTGCGACCATAACTCGAAAAACGGGCCTGATGTTTTGAACCTATTTGAAAGACAGTAGAGGTATAAAAAGGTAAGAAGGAGGTTGGATTAGGGTTCGAAATTTATTCTAAGGAAAGGGAGGCTAGGGTTTAGAGAATGTGATTTTCCCTCAAGCTTCAAAGACAACTTCTATGGGGGTTTCCATCTCTTCCCACTCCTCCATGAATGGCTAGGCTCTTCTTTTCTAGGGTTTTGATGATACCCTAGCCATGTAAAAGGGAGTTTTCTTAAGCTTTAATTGTGAAACGATTTGAACACATGTATGGATGTTTTAGAAGTTTATAATAATTGTTCTTTTCATCTCTTCAAGTATTTTACTCTCTGTGATTATTTAATGGTTTCTATATATTAGTTTTCTTTGTGTTTGTATTCAAAGTACGAGACGAGTCATGCTACGAGAGACAGGTCGTGTTGCTATTGTAGTTTAGAGCAAACGCCTCGTGCTATTCGGGATGATTCATGCCTGTACGTTGAATGCAACAACTCTCTTGATCAATATTTCAAACTTGTAGTTGTGAGATATTGGGTATTTCAAACTGAATTGCAATTATTGGCCGATGTTTAATCTCGTTTATATGGGTAGTGGTGAATTTTTTGCCTTGGGATTTTTCCCAAAAATTAATCTCTCAAACCCTACGTTTAATTGTCAATTTAATTTCTCAATTTTATTTAATTTCTATTTAGTCATAAAATCTCTCAATCTTTTTAATCAAAATTAATTTAAGAATTTAGCAATTAAATTAGTCTAATTTCGAAATTGTTCCTGTGAATCGATACCTGGACTTGTCATTATTCTAAAAGAATTTGGTATAGTTTAGTGTTTAATTTTGGTGTGTGAAACGACCCATCAAAATTTGAAAGTCAACGCACGTGCGGGAAAGTCAACCCACGTGTGTGAATAGTCTTTTCTCTCCAAATTCTGTATTTTGGTCCATTTTATGCCCCGACTATGTACAACCTGATTGATGTTAAACAGATATAAAATATATAGTTTGATAAGCAAGTAAAGTTAAGAGATCCTAATTAACAGTCTCAATATTACACGATTCGGCCTTAATCATAAAGGTCAAATTGATTTTCGAGTGATAGTTTGGAAAGAAAAATGATATTTTCCATATAATTAATTTTCTTAGAAAAATTTTAGTTAAACACCAAAAACGAGAAGAGTTAATAGTCCTAGATGGAAAACAATTATAAATGCAAAAATAAGTAAGGAGTAATTTGGTAATGCACTGAACTGAAACATATTTGGAATCATATTTCCTTAGGACTTGGATACATATTTCTGTTAGGAATAGGATTTGATGATATTCCTAGTAAAGTTCTAACTTCACATTCTCTATCATATATAACCTATGCTCTATCATTGCGAATTATTACTGATATCTGTTTGATTTAATGCTATTACTCTGTCTGATTACTAGTTCTAGACATAGGTCTGTCTTGTGTTGTGTTGAGCAACAATGGTGTCTGGTCGAGTGCTTTTATTTTTGTCTATGTTTATAGTGAGCTTGTCTTTTGTTTTTGTTTCTCATCCATGTAATGCTCATCCATTGAAGATTTGCAACTTTCATGAGATATATCAGCTTGGAGATTCTATATCCGACACGGGTAATTTGATCCATGAGAATCCTATTGGCGCTGCCACGCCTTTCGCTCACCTTCCCTATGGCGAAACGTTCTTTAAAAACGCCACGGGTCGTTGCTCCAATGGCTTGCTTATGATAGATTATATAGGTATGAAAACAGTGAAATTCATTTAAGAATAAGGTTAGGAGTTATGAAAAAAATATCATGACATAGAAATATTCTTTACTTTTGGATTACACGTATAATAAAATATCACACATTAATCAAAGGATAAAAAAATTTGATAATTTGATGATGCATTTCATGATATTTTTTTCATGATCCCTACTAGTATTCTTCATTTAATTACCTTATTCTTTTGTTATTAATTTGTTATGTATAGTTATAATGAGGGCGAATTATGCTAATGGTTCATATAGATTGGAACTTGTGGCATTTTAGTTCATAACTTTTCAATTATGGCACATTTAACTAAGAATTTTAAATCTTTTAAACATTTATTTATTTATTTTACAAAATTAATATTTATTATATGTTTGGATGATGATCATATAATAGATGGTTGTTTTTATTTTTATTAATGCTGTGTTTGGTTGGGGTTTTTGGGGTGGGATTTGGAAAAGGAATGAGAAATGTAATCTTATTTATGTTTGGTTATAATAAAAAATATATATGGGAAAAGAAAGGGGGTGAGAAATAAATAAAGAAATAAGAGACCTTTTAGGACATCAATTCTATTTTATAACCAACCCAACCAAACATAGTTGGGATTTGGAATTCTATTAATTCTTTCTCCTTTTCCTTTCATTTCCATTTCCCTTCCCAAATCCCCCAACCAAACACAGCGTAAATTAGTTTTTATTTATCCAAAAGTCAAATATGACGACAACTTTGAATATATCGATGACACATTAAAATCCCAATGTCTACCCATTACATGATCATCATCCAAATCCATAATAAAAATTAATTTGGTAAAAAATAAATAAATACATGTCTAAAAGATTTATTAATTTTACATAATTTTATTTTTGGTGGGTAAAAATAATTTTTAAAAATTCAAAAATATTTTTTTAATATTTATTTTTGTCAAATTAGTTTATATTTTATCAAATTGACAATTTTTCCATTAAAATTAAATAATGGTATTTTCAATTATTTTTATTTGAAACAAGATTCAAAATTTAAGATCAAATGCGTCATAATTAAAAAGTCAATGGCTAAAGTAACATGAGTCCCAAACTATAGAGATTATTAGTGTCATCCACCCTTATAATTATATCATGTAACTATGAACCTTTCTTTTACTACTGCCACTCTGTTTTTATTTTATTTTTGTTTTTATTTTTCTAAATTCTCAAAATCTCAATTTTTAAAAAAGAGGATATTGTCTCCTAGTTCAGAATCTATCTTTTGAAAAACAAAAAAATCATTATGTTCGTATGGTTTTTTCTTTTGGGGTGAAAATAATTTTTGTAAATTCAAAATTTTATTTTTTGATGCATATTCTGCCAAACTAACATATTTATTTATTTTTAAATTAAAAAACAAGTTCTAAAAACTCAGCCAAGCATTGGTTTTCCTTTTTCCATGGCGTTATTTGTTCAACCATGGCCCATCTTCTTGTCTATAAACTACTTAGGTCTGCAAGCCTGCTTTTTGCGGGTATTTATGAAAATTAAGTTAAATAATGTATGTATTTTTCCTTTAGCTCAAATTTTAAACTGTGTTGTGTATTGTATCTTCGTAGCAATGGCAGCGGGGCTTCCGTTTCTCAATCCCTACAAGAGCACTGATGATGCAGACTTTAGACATGGAGTCAATTTCGCAGTGGCTGGCTCTACTGCATTACCAACCGAGATTCTTGCTAGCGAGAACATTTTATCTCCAGTAACTAACAGCTCACTTAGTGTCCAACTTGGTTGGATGTCCACACATTTTAATTCTACTTGCAAAACAAGAGGAGGTTGGTGTGTCAATCAAATTAAATACCTGAGCTTTTTTCTTAAACAAAGTACTTTTTTCTTCTTTTTTTTTAACTTATGATTTGAATACATGATATGTTTACATGATTGTGTTGACAGATTGTGTGGAAAAACTTAAAAACTCGCTCTTTATGGTTGGAGAAATTGGAGGGAATGATTACAACTATGCGCTACTTCCAGGCAAAAGCATCGAAGAAGTAAAGAAAATTGTTCCCAATGTTGTCGAAGCTATAAAGAATGCTGTTAGAGTAAGATTTTTTTCAATTTTATTAAATCATTATGTTTTCATTCAACTTCATTTGAGATACCTCTCTTAATTACTTGCCATATATCAACTCTATTTAATTTTGTTGCTTGCAGCGTGTCATACATTATGGTGCTGTGAGAGTGATTGTCCCTGGAAACTTTCCGATAGGTTGTTTTCCAATCTATCTTACCAGATTCCAAACTAACGACACTGCAGTATATGATGAAGATCAATGCTTGAAGGAACTAAATGATTTTTCCAAATACCACAATGATAATTTACGACGTGCTATCAAAGATTTGAAGAACGAGTTCCCCAATGTGGTCATAGTGTATGGTGATTACTATCATGCATTCCGCTTTCTTTTCCAAAATGCTTGGTACCTTGGTGAGTCTTTACACCTTAACTAAAAGAGACAACATAGAATAGTAAGTTGATAATAAAGATTATTTACGATTATCTTAATTTTTTGTTTTGTTATGTTGTATACAGGATTTGATGTCATGTCTCTACAAAAAGCTTGTTGCGGAATTGGAGGTAACTACAACTTCAGTCTTACGAGGATGTGTGGAGCTGGTCTTCCGGTTTGCTCTAATCCCAATCAACACATCAGTTGGGATGGAGTTCACTTGACGCAAGAGGCTTACAAGTTCATGACTGGATGGCTTATTCGTAACATGTTACACAAGCTTCAGTGCAGTGTTTAATTGCCAAGTAGTTTATAATGTTAGGTACTTGTTTTTAGGATGATTTGTTTTTTTGTTATTGTCAACTTTATTAGATTTTTGTTAGGAGTTTATGATTTGATCAATTGGATTTGGCATTGGCATTAACAATAATATTTCACAGTAAAAACATATATTCACATTGCTGCATCTTCACATCTTAGAAAGTATTGAAGTAGTAGTGAATATCACCTCATCTTTGTCTCTTTGCCCCAAATCTAATTTAAAGTATATAACTGAAAAAGCTTGGTATTAAATGGTTTTAGTTAAGACAGAAATCCTTCCACTGAAACCAGTAACAAGAATTCTCTGAAAACCACTGAAGCTTGTTATGTGGAGAATTTTAAATGAGGTTATCTTAGTTATTTCTTCAACTTATGATGATTGACTTGTTGTACCTAAAGCTCAGGTGATTACATTAATGGAGGGATAATTAAAAAGATAAGAGGATATACTCTTTTCTGTTTGTATTTATGTGTGTGACACATATAGAGAGAGGTTAAAACAGAGTAATTTCCCATCTAACAGAAAAATAAATAAATAAATTGAATTTAGCAAAAGGCACTAACAAATCGAAAGGTAACATTTAAAAGCTAATCAACTTCAGCTACTGATGTATCCATCAAAAAAATTGGGTGGATATCCATCAGTAAAATAGAACTCAAAGAGACCCAACTTTCTCATTACTGACCACTGACTTCCATTCCAATAGAGATTCCAAAATGGCATTTTCTGTTCTCTAGCCTTGAAGACTTAGCCACAAGCAGTTATTGGGTGTTCTAAGATTATCGCCATGAGGTGCTCTAAGATATTGTGATTGATGGAGAAGGTAAATTCACGATTTTGTGTCGGGTAATTGAATAACATGAAAATGTATGGTGTATAATGATAATGAAGAAACACGAACATGTAATGCTCTAAGAGCATTGAATAGTTTGTCCTTAGCCACCCATAGAGCTTGCTATATATATTCCCTTTCTGCACCAAAGACTATTGTGTTCTTTCTGCAGAAACAAACAAAAATTCACTCCTTGCCTTGCATTGCAGGCTTTCCTTATTCATCCCCATTTCCTTACTAGTTGATTTTCATACCTCATTTTTCTTACCCTATTGTGGTTGTTTTGGTTTAGACAAATCAAGTGAACTAAAAAAAAAAAAAAATCTTAATCCAATTCAAAATTTTAAATTGATGGTGCAGATTTAATCTTCTTGTTATGAGCCCACTCCATAAATGACTCAACCATATATTGTATAGGTCCACTCCATAAATGACTCAGCCATAAATTTTATATTTTAGGTAAATTGCTGGTCTATTTTTTTAGGTTTGTTTATCTATTTTTTTTACTATGACCCTTCCCCACAAATGACTCAACCATAAATTTTATATTATAGGTAAATTGCTGGTCTATTTTTTTAGGATTTTTTATCTATTGTTTTGATACGATTTGTTATAGTGATGATTATCACTTAGTTATTTTAGTTATGATTAAAAAGGTATATAATTATGTATCAAGTGATATTTAATTATGATTTAAAGATTGTTTAGAATGATCTAAATAATTACACTTTTTATCTTTTTACGAAAAGATGTGCAGAAAAGTAGAAAGGTGATGTGATGAAAAAAAAATAAAAAGATGAATTATTTTAGTATTGCCAAACTTGGCCTTATTATGAACTTTTTAATTATGATTGAAAATAATTTAATTATGACATTCAATTTAATAACCTAGTTTCATTTTTATTTATTTATTTATGAAAACGAATATTAAATATGATAGATAGTATTTCTAATGATTCAATCACTAAATAACTAGTTACTGTTATATTTCATCAATAAATAGTTCTAAAATTATATAACTAGTTATTGTTATATTTACAATGTTGCTCTAACGGCTCAAATTTATTTCTTCTATTTTTTGACGAACTGCCAAATACAAACACTATGTAAGTCTCATCATAAGAAATATAAAAACAACTAAAGTTGTAGAAATTTAACCATCTCCAACAATTCATTCTATTTTTTTGGTTTTATACCAAAAAAGATCATTCTATCGGATGATGGAGATGAATTAGATAATTTAGATTAACACAAGATTTAACTAGTCATACCACACAAGTTATTCAAAATTTACTCAGTGCGGATATATGAGAAAACCTCAGCTCTATATAGAGGAAAGATCCATTACAAACACTACCAGCTAACAACGCTTTGAGCAGCCTCATTCGGACTCTCCTCCCGCGATAACACAAGCCATATTACATATCTACAAAACCACATGCACAACCACACACTTCTACACAAACACAACACAACACAACACATTTTCAGCTTCAATCACAACAACCCACTAAAAAGATAAGAGAGGAGAACTTTTCTTTTCTTGTTCTTTTTCATTTTTCAATTTTTTGTTCTTGTGCTGGTTGATGAGAAAAAAGTGAACTCAAATCTCACATGTCGTCAGGAGGAGTTGGGCTCCTGGGTCCAATCCCATTTGCTTTCTCGTACACATCCGATATAGACCTCCTCCGGAACCGGTATGCCTCTCTGCTCCCTCCTTAAACAACATCCATTAGCAAATTTTTTTTCCTTTAGCACTGATCCGAAATTTAACCCATAGACTCAAAACAAATGTTACTACATGCTGGCAATGTGTATGCATAATTTATAAGCAATAAATCTACATATTCATAATTACTAAACCATGGTAAAGTATGAACAATTTATATAAAGCACAATAGGAACCGCTCAACTCCCCTAATTTTTAATACTTTCTTATAATTTAATTATGTAGTATTCAAGCCGACAGCAACCTTGATACCAAACAATACTCTTAACACCTCAATCGATTTCAAGCCAATTATAAGTTTGTATATTGATGGGTATATATCAAACTGGGCCTATATTATTTGATTTCAAGCCAATTAAATAAACCAAACAATACTAAACACCTCATAGTTAATTCATTTTTTCATCCCATAGATATAGTGTTATTTTTATCTGTATGCATGGGTATGTAATCTACAACAAATCAAGTTACACAAAAGAATCATCTACAGCATGCATGCTAAAGCCACATTTCAACACAGAATATGAAGATAAACTAAATTAAAATCTACAAACCTCTGCAATTAATCAACTTATAGCTTACTTTATATCAATTACAATTGTACAAAAGAAAAAGAAAAAAAAAAAAGCATCTGAGTGAGTGTGAAACTACACCTAAAAGTTCAAAGGCTTAGTAGTGACAAATTAAGAAAATTTTAGTTTTACAGACAAACCAACACAAAGCATTGAGTAGACTCTACACCAAGTGATGTAGAAGTGTCGATATCATTGTCAAAGTAAGCAAAGCAAGCAACCAAAACTTTGAAAACCATTTAAAACCAAATAAATATCTAACCTCTATGTACCTCAAAGGTCTCACCTATCAGTACCTCAAAGGCCACAGAAAATACTATTTTAGTATAGTTGATGGTGTGTGTATATATATATATATTCTTATGCATTTGGTTGCATATAAGATAATACTAATAATGTTATGATGTATGTTTTTACTTTTTCAAACTGCATTAATAACAAGTGAGATTGATTAAAATAATATAATATTTATTTATACCATTTTTTATTTACATAAAATTTAATCACAGAATCAAACACAATCCGCGTATTTGAGATAAGACTCCTACACTTAAGATCTCACCTCATGAACGGGCAGTGTTTTACGATTGAATTCTTGGTACTTAAAAGTTTTTCTTACACATAAAACAGGAACAATTTTTTTACATGTATAGATTACATATTATATGTTTCTTATGTATACGATAAACAAATTTTTCTTACACATAAAATGACAAACAAACTGTTTCTATATCAGACATGCTATTCATCACCAGTTTTATTTTACCATTTTGTTTCACCTCCTAATAATACCATTAGGTTGGATTAGCATTATTAGGAAATCAAGCAAGCGTATCATAACCATGTTTAGGTGGGCTTAGAATGATCAGGAAGGATTAACAAAAACACTATCAATTTTACAATTTAACTAAGAAAAATGTTTGGTGGCCACAAGTTATGTGGCTCAAATGGTCCGAAAATGTCAAAACAACGTCGTTTTGGCATTTTTAGAGTTGTTTTATACCAAAAACGACGTCGCTTTGACATTTTCGGGCCATTTGAGCCACTGAATTTGTGGCCACCAATCATTGCCGTTTAACTAATTAATCCGAACCTCTATTTTGTGTCCCCTAATGAGATTCTATTGGGTCTCAAACAGATATTATGTCCGAATAGACTATGAATCTAAATATTTTATTATGAATTTTGTTAAATTATTAGTCTAATCCTAAAATTATGGCCATTCAATACGTAGCCTACCCTATTTAATAAATAGTCAGACTTATCATATCACATAAAAAAAATAAAAAAATTTATGTAGACATATATAAAAGATCTTAATATCATAGGTCAACACTGCACCAATAACAAGCATATTAAATTAATAAGAGAAATTATACATCAGTGAGTTTTTATAAAATGTTTACAGATTAATGAAAAAAATTATAATTATAATTATTAATATTTATAAAAAAAAAAATTATTAATTTGATTTTTTTCCCCAAATTAATATAATATTAAAATAAATAAATAAATTGTGATAAATAAGTAAATGTCCTTATCCTAACATTATTGAAGAAATATAAGTTTTTGTACGTCACAGTCCACACATAAGAGACACGCAAAAATAATTGCATTTCCACCTAACACTTTGCATCGCATTATCCGTCAAGAAAATTGACAACCATGCAAAATGACAAAATTATCCTCACTACATTATAGGGCCATGTTTGGAAAGTTGATTGAAAAGTTGATTATTTGACTTTTGATTATTGCTGTATACATCAATTAATATACTAACTAATGTATCAATACTAATTATAATATTATTATTGACTTTATTCATTATACAAATTAAAAATATTAAAGACCTCTTATATTATATCAGATCATCAATTAGATACTAATTAATACATTAATAGATACATATAACATTATATTTTGATTATTTTAACTCAATTAAAATGATTATGTCTATGAAATTAATTAATTTTTTTGAAAAAAATAAAATAAAATAATTATAAATTAAATATAATATTTTATTTTATTCACTGTTTTCATCTATATTATCTTATCATTTAGTGGGCTAGGCGGCCCATGTACAATTCTTGAACCCATACTACTACACTACTTGTCTACTACTAGTCTACCACTTTCCTTGGAGCCATTTGATAAAAATTACACCTCACCCATGACAGTGACTAATAAAAAGCAAAAAACAAAAACAAAAAAGACATACCGGCAAACGGAGATACCGGTGGCGTAGATCCAGCAGGCGAAACCGGAGGCGAACCGTTCTGAGTCGGCGGTGGTTTCAGTATCATGATGCTTCTCGTTACCCTCATACCCTCCTCCGCACCTCCACCCTCCGATTCTGCTCAAAACAAACCAATCAAACGGTTAACAATCAATCCCCTCCTCATCATCATCACTGTTTCCACAAATTCAACGAATCACAGCCATTTGATCTGATTTTATTCATTTCATGATCAATTTTTCAATTCGTGAATTAGTAATTCAATATTTGTTCATTCACATATTATATTGGGATACAATAACAATTTTAGCACAACTGGCGTAAGATAGCGACGAGGCGTACCCTTGCTCGGTCGCACAGTGAAGGTGTGTTGTTTACGGAGCTTTCCGAGGCCGTTTTCGGGACGAGGACCAGCAACGGTGTCGTCCCAGAGCTGATCTAGTAAGCTCATGGCTTAGGTTAGCTAACCGGCGTATCGTTTGATTGGGGTAGTAACTTTAGCACACCCGAAGAGGAGTATGAGACGGAGAGTGAGTAGCGATATTTATTGACGGATTGGAGCTTAAATGTCGAACGAATCTGGAAGGATGGGTGGTGTGGACACCGTTGGATTGGATCTGGAGGATCTGATGTGACGTGGACGATAGATGTAGAACCACGTACAGATAAGAGCCGAACGTGACAAGGCAACATCGAGGAAAAATGCCAAGTGGCATTTTAGGCGAGAAAAAATATGAAAAATGAGTTGGACCCATTTTGTGGAGGATCCCACAATTTCTTTATTGATCTACACCATTTATAATATGTGGGACTCACTCATATATGTGTGAGGTCCACATCATGAATGGTATAGATCACAAAGGAGGTTGTGGGGTCCTCCACAAAAAGGTCTCTATTATTGCTGAAAAAATATTTTATAATTGTAATTTTTGAGTTCTAAAATCAGTTTTATTGAGTTGATAAGTGGATTTTATCTATTATAATGTGATGTTTTGAAAGTTTATTTTTTTTATTTCTTTTTATTATGTTATTACTGTTTTGTTAAATTATCAAAATTAATATTCTGAATTATTACTGTTAGGCGAGGGTGTGTCACGTGAGAGTGCTGTTCTCCATCTTTTTAGGTAAATTGTAATGTTGATAAGTTGTTGTTTCGTATAGGAGGATTGCTCCACGTCATCAATAAATATTTTATTGTCTTTTTTACTATTCAATTAATAATAATTAAGGTTATGCTTAGCATGTTATGCCTTATTAACTACTTAGTGTGGGTTTAATACTCTTTCACTGTGCGAGTCCTAAGTTAATCGAAGTTTGTCTTGGGAGGTCGGGACAAGCTTCCAAGTTATAGTCTCTTACTCGGAACGGACAACATGACACCCTAGTGATCTCTTCATGGGGGCAGTGTCCTGAACCTGCGGGAGGGTGGGAAGATTTCCCTGTAACAAAAAAAAAAAAATGTTAGTTTCGAGTTATTTTAATAAAATAAATAAATAAATAAATTTATAAGATAAAATATCACAATTAAATTATAATTATTTTATTTTTTTATAAAAATTAAAAAAACTAAAATATCTATTCTAAATAAAAAATTTTAACTTAAATTAAAATAATTAAAAAATCAATTTACAAACTAAACAAATCTAATCATAGATTTGGACTATTATGATGGAAATGGTGATGCACTATTTTGGAGAAGGTTAAAAATCAAGTTTTTAGTTTTTTTTTATAATTTTTTTTAAAAAATATATGTTAAAAAAAATGTGATGTGATTTAAAAAAAAAAAAAAACTAAAAACCTAGTTTTCTTTTGCTTTTAATTGAATGGTCAAAATAGGCCAAAATGATTAGACCCCTGATGATCATGATAATTACTACTAAAGGACACTGGTTTCTCGTGTGAGTAGTACACACTATGGAAAAAAAAAATTATAAAAAAATTTAAGACATAACCATAATTTTTGGATTTTATCAATTTGAGTATTAATTTTTTTATTTTTAATTTAAATTATTTATCTATTTTTTATTGAATAAAACTAACAGAAAAAATAATATTTCAATTATTAAATTTAATAAAAATAATATTTTAGACATTTTATGTACACTTCCATTGACTTTGATGACTAAGATATTATTTTATTTGTCTATTTTTATTTACTGAAAATAGGTTTATCATTTATATTGAAAACAAATTAAAAGATTGAGATTTAAATTTAAAAAATTAAAAATTTATTTTGTTGCAATTGTCAAACTTTGGAGATTTTTTTTAATATAATTTTTCTTATTTTGTTTATAGAAGAATTTAGTTGTAAAGGGAAAGACTATGATGTGTGTATTATATGCACTATATAATTATGAAAAATAATATAATTTCATACTTTCTAAGTCATAATTAAAAAAAAAAATCATAACCAAACACAAAAAAATCATAATCAAAATCTCAAAATAATATCATAATTAAAAAAAAGAATTGATCATAACTAACAAGAAAAATTACATAATTAAAAGTACATATAATATGAGGGGGTGCATAATAAAATTCTTCAGTTGTAAATCATCTTTCATTTACTTGTATTCCAATTGCTCATATGGATATTATTGTATCCTAATGAATTATGTTACTTTGAAGATTTAGTCGGCCAAATCTCAATTCCTATATTTTAGATTTTTAGAATAATTATGAACAAGTCTCGTTGATTGAACTTATTTACTCATAAATTCTTAATTTTTAATTTTTTTTTCTATCCATTATTTTGATATTGAAATTTTTTTTAAGACTTTTTAGATATGTCTTGGATTTGATGAATGATCATTTGGTATTAATAATCAAACTGATAAATTTATCAAAATGATAAATAATTGGGATATTTTGACTTTTGTTTATGAGTTTTAATTAATTATTTTTTAATTTATTTGTGTTAGTTTGTATTGAAATATAATATGGGAAGTGTTTTCTTTTCTTCTTTTTTTTTTAAATTTATAATAATAAATTTATTACTAAATATTGAAGTAAGACTTTTAGTAAATATGTTCAGTTCACAGGACCTGCTCGTCTATCTCTGAATTTTTTAGACATTTTTTCCTTTGTAAATATTTTTTCATTCCTTAGCATACAACAATGACAAATAACAATGCGAACCAGCATACATCTTGTGCTATTCATATTCATATACTCACACAAACAAATGCATGGACAATGAGAAGATTCGCATTAGATTATAACATTCATGACTGATTGGGCAATGTAAAGCTTCACACTAGTAGAAATTTAAGTACATTCATATTCACACAAAACATTCATATAAATAATGAGAAGATACCGTTCAACATCTTTTACAATGATGTGAAAGTTCATATTACGACAAATCAAATTATATAAAACGCTTACAAAATTTGAATGTGAAACTCTCATATTCCAGTTTTTTTTTTGTAAAAAAATTAAAATTTGACAATATACAATGGAACTAGAGTTTCAAACATCAACTACTCTTCAACACCAATTTTATATACAATAAGCGGGCAAAGGGATTCAATAATCCAATTATTAATCGATCAAATTATAGGGTCTGAACATCAAGAAAAATAAAAAATACAAATGTAAAACTTATGTTTTCTACCCATTTCAGCGAATATGACCCGCGAACTTGTTGTGAGCTTCAACAACGATGAAGAACGATGTCACGATCCAAACCCGGTATCCAAAGGCTCGGCGTCGTAACAAGATAAAAATAAAATAATTCGAATAATTCTGTAGTCACAGCGCAAGCGGATAAATTAAGGCCAAGTTTGGGAACTTGTAAAAAAGTCAAAAAGTCAAAAAGTTACTTAAAAAGTTAAAAGTTAACACTATTCACCAAAGTCAACAATTACAGCTGCATAATTCCCAATTCGAATTTTTCCCTATAAATCAATTTTGACAATTTTTTATTACACATTTTTCCATAAAAAGTCAAAAAGTTAACCCAAACATCCATATTTTCAACCTCAATTTTTTAGTCCAAAAAGATAAAAAGTGCACTTATTTAGGACAACCCAAACAACCCCTAAATAAATTAAAATAAATAACTGGGTACCAACTGTTTATTTAAAAGGAAGTAAAACATAATTACTTGAACTTCATTGTATTACAAGAGTCTAATAATAAAAGATAGAAAACAAATAATATAGCGATTCATTTTCCATCTTGATCCCGCTAAATCTCGTCACTTGAAAGGGGTAACAGCTATAAGCACATAGCAGAATGAGAAATATCATACTATGAGTGTAGGGGCACAAAATGGCCATAGATATTTATTTAAGCTAAAACATTAACATAAATTGAGTTGAGTTGAATACACAAATTAATTGAGTGTCAGAAACTGAAATAATCACTATAACCATGGTACATCACTAAAGTAACAATCACTACAGAGGTCAATGGATCCATGACAACACTGGACCACAAAGTAGTCAAACACTAGTCAATGGTTATTTTAAGTCTCCCAAGGCGTGGGACTCCCGTGGTGGTATTTACAAAACATAATTGCTTATAAGGTCATAATCAAATATTCTTTAAAATATAAACAAACATATCCATGGTTTCCTTTTAAGCAAATAGGGTTCAAAAAATAATCTACATAACTGAAACCTTTATAAAACATAACTTTTATTACTATACCAATAAAACATAACTAGTATCAAATACATTTTGGTAACCTAAGATATAATATAACTCACCTTAAATTAATCTCACGATCTTCACCCGCCCCTTTCTCTTTTCTACTCTCTATTTCCGTTGCCTTAAACCTGTCATTCTTCCCTATTTATAGGAAGAAAATCGTGGGTGACAAGTATATGGAAGGTTCTGTATTTTGATGCGTGGAGATCAAATCTTGCTGATCACTCCAGTTGATCACTCCAGTCCACCACCCTTATCTTATTTATTTATTAACTTGGTTTTATCTTTTTGACCATTGGCTACTCTTAGAACTTAGGACTATTTTGACCACTTTACTAATTTTAAACATTATTATCTTCTTTGGTAATTCATGATGACTCCTAAAATTATATATGACTATAAGTTAGGTTCACGTCTAAAACCTTACGACCCAACCTCACTTATCACTTATTAAAATATTTAAGGTGTAGTTTTTTTTTTTTTTTCACAACGAATTTATTTATTTATTTATTATTATTTTTTTTAACCATAAAATTCTCAACTCTCTAAATTATGCCTTTACTTATTATTATTTATTTAGTTACCATTATTGTCATTGTATATATATATATATATATATTATTTTTAAGTTCTATTTATTGTAATTTAAAACATTCGGGTGTTACATTTCTCCTTTCCTTAAAAGAAGTTTGTTCTCAAACTTGACGTACCTTGGTTTTCGAAGAGGTGTAGGTATTTGGCTCGTATTTGGCTTTCAGTTTCCCACGTTGCTTCTTCGACACGATAGTTTCTCCATAAGGCCTTTACGAGGGGTATAGTTTTATTTCGAAGGATCTGATCACGACGATCGAGAATCTGTACAGGTTGCTC